TGGCAGCAAGCAAAGAGAGAGGAGGAATGGGGTTCAAAGACATGAGAAGTCTTAATGAGGCTTTGATGTAAAGCAGCTATGGAGACTTCTAACACAACCAAATTCTCTTTTGAGTAAATTTCTTAAAGGGAGGTATTTTTTCAACTCTAGCTTATTTGCTGTGAAAAAAAAACATGGAGATTCATGGTTGTGAAAGGGGTGGCTTGATGTGAGGGAGAGTCTGCTGAGAGGGGCGAGATACCAAGTGGGAGATGGTAAACTTATTGATATCTGGAAAGACCCATGGGTTCCTTTTCTACACAATTTCAAACCAAGTTGGAATTCTGAGAGGGATAGAGGAAGACTGACAAAAGTAAGTGACCTGTTGCTTGAAGATGGCAAGGCCTGGGATAAGGAACTTATTGATCAAAGTTTTAATCCTTTTGAGGCTGAAGCGATTCTGAAAACTCCAGTCAGTCACTTACAAAGGAAGGACCGGTTTGTCTGGCACTTTGGGTCTAAGGGAATGTTTACTGTGAATTCTGCTTGCAATAGCATCATAAAATACAAAGCAGGACTACATCACACAGCTCAATCCAGTAGCAGGGATCAGAAGGAAAAGAATATGTGGAAGAAAACATGGAAGCTCCCACTCCAGCCTAAAGTGAAAAACTTCTTTTGGAGAGTTTACCATGGCTTCTTAGGGACTAAAACTCAACTGGTTAGGAAAGGTGTTCAGATAGATCCCATTTGCAATACTTGTGGGGAAGACCAGGAAGATTTGGAACACATTTTCTACAAGTGCAACAAGGCCAAGCTCTGTTGGAAGCTTATTGGTATAGAATGGTCAGCATTTCAAGAGGACCAGAAGCTCATGATAGACTGGTGGGAGGAGATCAGTACTAGTTCACAGTTCTGGAAGTTGAAAGACAGGGTGATGCTCTCCTTATGTCTTTTGTGGAGAATCTGGAAAGCCAGGAATAACAAGCTGTTCAGGGATAAAACATTCACAGAAAGAGTAGTAGTGATAGGAGCTATAAAAGATTGGCTTGAACTTACCTATTCCCCTACTGAGGAGCAGAAGCAGCTTGTGATGGAACCATATACTGAGTACAAAAGGAAGCATTTTTCCAAGAAGGTAGGACTTGTATCCTTGCAGGTCAGTGCCTTATGCTTTCCAGGAGGAAAAGTAGTATGGAAGTGCTGTGCAGAAATGGAAGGACTGGCAGTGGAAGAATGGCAAAATGAAGAAATGGGAGCAGAAGACAATCAGAGTGCATTAATGCTTGCTGTCAGAGGAGCTTTAGCAGGAGCCTGTACAAGAAATTGGAAGAACATTCAGTGTACCATTCCAGATGAGGACATCCTGCTACAGCTGCATTCTTGCAAGGATTCACCATCTTCAATGTCATGAGTGTTCTGGGATATTCTACAGCTTCAATATAGCTTTGATTATTGTGTATTTACTGCTACTGATGTTTTATAATTTCTGCTTGTGACCATGTATGGTTGTCTAGGGTTTATCATTTGTGTATGCCCGATTCTGGCTTGTCTAGTGTCCTAGATAAGGTTAGTTGTTCTCAGTTGAGATACGGTTAAACATTGCTATGAGTTTTAATATATTGATCTTTGTTTGGGGAAAAAAAAAAAAAAACTATATAATTGACTGAGATTGAACTAATTTGACTTCAATTTGACTACTTCGAGGTCGATTACACTATAATTGACCGAGATTGTACTAATTTGACTTCAATTGGACTAATTCGAGTTCGATTACACTATAATTGACCGATATTGTACTAATTTGACTTCAATTGGACTAATTCGAAGTCAAATTAGTACAATCTCGGTCAAGTATAGTGTAATATAACTCGAATTAGTCCAATTGAAGTCAAACTAGTACAATCTCGGTCAATTATAGTGTAATCGACCTCGAATTAGTCCAATTGAAGTCGAATTAGTACAATCTCGGTCAATTATGGTGTAATCGACCTCGAATTAATCTAATTGAACTTGAATTAGTCCAATTGAAGTCAAATTAGTACAATCTCGGTCAATTATAGTCCAATTGAAGTCAAATTAGTACAATCTCGGTCAATTATAGTGTAATCGACCTCGGATTAGTCTAATTAAACTCGAATTAGTACAATCTCGGTCAACTATAGTGTAATCGACCTCGAATTAGTCCAAATGATGTCAAATTAGTCAAATTGAAGTCAAATTAGTACAATCTCGGTCAATTATAGTGTAATCGACCTCGAATTAGTCTAATTAAAGTCGAATTAGTATAATCTCGGTCAATTATAGTGTAATCGACCTCGAATTAATCTAATTGAAGTCGAATTAGTACAATCTCGGTCAATTATAATGTAATCGACCTCAAATTAGTGCAATTGAAGTCAAATTAGTACAATCTCGGTCAGTTATAGTGCAATCGACCTCGAATTAGTCCAGTTGAAGTCAAATTAGCACAATCTCGGTTAATTATAGTGTAATCGACCTCGAATTAGTCCAATTGAAGTCGATTTAGTACAATCTCGATCAATTATAGTGTAATCGAACTCGAATTAGTCCAATTGAAGTCGAATTAGTACAATCTCGGTCAATTAGTACAATCTCGGTCAAATTAGTACAATCTCGGCCAATTATAGTGTAATCATCTCGAATTAGTCCAATTGAAGTCGAATTAGTACAAACTCGGTCAATTATAGTGTAGTAGAACCTGAATTAGTCCAATTGAAGTCAAATTGATACAATCTCGGTCAATTATCGTGTAATCGAACTCGAATTAGTCCAATTGAAGTCGAATTAGTACAATCTCAGTCAAATTAGTACAATCTCGGTCAATTATAGTGTAATAAACCTCGAATTAGTCCAATTGAAGTCGAATTAGTACAATTGAAGTCAAATTAGTACAATTTCGGTCAATTATAGTGTAATCGAACTCGACCAATTGAAGTCGAATTAGTACAATATCGGTCAATTATAGTGTAATCGAACTCAAATTAGTACAATTAAAGTCGAATTAGTACAATCTCGGTCAATTATAGTGTAATCGAACTCGAATTAGTCCAATTGAAGTCGAATTAGTACAATCTCGGTCAATTATAGTGTAATCGACCTCGATTAGTCCAATTGAAGTCGAATTATAGTGTTGAAGAAAAACTTGATAAATTTTTTGCTCCATTAGAGTGGCTGACCTCCAACCCAAATTCCACTGCTAAAAACTTTTATCTCAGTTCCTCAGACCATAGCCTTAGTGTTCTCTCATCGGGGGAAAACTGCAAAAAACCTTCCAAAAGGTTTGTCTTTGACAAACGTTGGCTGATAAGAGAAGGAGTGAGTGACATCATTAAAGAAGCATGGGACTGTTTCCAGAGTGGTCTTCCTATGGCCCAATTCCAGAAAAGAATTGCAGCTACAAGGGTGGCTCTTTTTAAATGGAGTAGGAACTTCAAATCTGAAAATGACAAAGCCCTTTAGGAAGCCTCACAGGAAATGGAAGAACTTCGAGCTCAGGGAAACCAAAGAGATTGGAATAGATGGAACTCCCTGAAACTCAAGATTGACTCTATCAACAAAACTGAGGAAATTTTTTGGAGGCAAAAGTCTAGGCTTCAGTGGCTAAAGGAAGGAGACAAAAACACTCATTTTTTCCATGCTTATACTACACAAAGAAGGAGATCAAATGCCATCACTAGACTCATCAGAAGGGACAACTCAGTCTGTGACACTGAATCTGAAATTGGAAGTTGCATCTCAGAGTTTTACAAACAGCTTTTTACCACTGCCAACCCCAGAACAGAGGACCCCCTCCTGCAATGCATTCAATCATCTATCAATCCAAGCATGAACTCAAGGCTCCTTTGAAATGAAGTGAAGAGAGTTCTGGATAGCATGAATCCCAACAAAGCCCCGGGCCACGACGGTATGACCCCTCTTTTCTTTCAAAAAAATTGGCCCACTGTAAAAGACAACCTTTGCTCTTCTATTTTCAGTTTTTTTGATTCTGGATATATGTCTAAGTCTTGGAATCATACATTAATCACCCTAATTCCAAAAATCCATAATCCCTCTAGAGTTGAGCATTTTAGACCTATTAGCCTTTGTTGTGTCGCATATAAAATCATCTCTAAGATCCTTGCTTCTAGACTAAAAAATTGTCTTTCTGTTTGCATTAGTGATAATCAGGCAGCTTTCATACTAGAGAGACAACTCTTAGACAATGTGGTGATTGTCCAAGAGGCCATTCATTATTTGAATAGACATAGATCAGGCTCTAATTACTTCATGGCTATTAAACTTGATATGGAAAAAGCCTTCGATAGAATTGAGTGGCCTTGCATAAAATCTGTCATGCTAAAAATGGGTTTTCATGTAAATTTTGTCAACTGGATCATGTCCTGCATTTCTACCACTAGAATTAATCTCAGTCAAATTAGTTTAATTGAAGTAAAATTAGTACAATCTCAGTCAATTATAGTGTAATCGAACTTGAATTAATCCAATTGAAGTCGAATTAGTACAATCTCGTTCAATTATAGTGTAATCGAACTCGAATTAGTCCAATTAAAGTCAAATTGTACTAATTCGACTTCAATTGGACTAATTCGAGGTCGATTACACTATAATTGACCAAGATTGTACTAATTTAACTTCAATTGGACTAATTCGAGTTCGATTATATTATAATTGACCGAGATTGTACTAATTCGACTTCAATTGGACTAATTTGACTTCAATTGGACTAATTCGAGTTCGATTACATTATAATTGACCGAGATTGTACTAATTCGACTTCAATTGGACTAATTCGAGATCGATTACACTATAATTGACCGAGATTGTACTAATTCGACTTCAATTGGACTAATTCGAGGTCGATTACACTATAATTGACCGAGATTGTACTAATTTGACTTCAATTTAAATCCGTTTTATCCGTTTATAATTTCTTTTTATTTTTTATAATCCGTTTTTATTTTTATTTATTTATTANACGCGAAATAAAGACGTATTCCATTTCAAGAATTCAGCCCAAATTAAACTTCCCCAAAATTAACTGTCCTGGCCCATTACCCTGGACCATTTATTGTACCCAATCTTCCCTGAGTTCCTCAAAGCCTTCTTTTGAAACACGTAACCCTAATAACCTCTGCAACTCTTTCCATAACCTTTCTGCAGCCTTAACCCTTTCTATATCCATACAAGATGATCGGTCATCGATACAAGATGATCGGTGCATGCGTGCGTCAGGTGAGGCGCAGTGCTGCGATTGCGTCGGGGATGGCGTGCCGGTGGTCTCCGGCGACGATAGGAGCACCACCCAGCGAACTCGCGCGACGCTGCACGCCTGCAGCAGGCGGCGATCCAGCGAACCCCGATGATTCTCGCGCAAATGCGCATGGAGGATGCAGGGCGATTCCATGGCGTCAGGTTGGGCGCAGTGCTGCGATTACGTCGGTGGTGGCGCGCCGGTGGTCTCGGGCGACGAGAGGAGCACCACCCGGCGAACTCGCTCGACGCTGCACGGCTGCAGCAGGCGGAGACCCAGCGAACGCCGATGATGCTGGCGCAACAGTGCATTGCGGCAGCAGGCCGATTCCATGGCAGAGGTATCGAGTTTCTTCTCTCCAGACATCCGTCCAGAGTAAATTCTCAAGGTATCAAGTTCCTTCCGTCAAATCTACCCTACATGCCCTAAAATTCTCAAGGTCATACTCTACTATTGTTCCATTCACAAAGGTTGATGAGGGATTTGCTGTATTGAATGTTTCGTACATACCATCATTCATGTATCTTGCAAACTGGAACGATCCGCTGTGGAATCCAAAAAGTAAATGGCCGAGTTCGAATTCCGAATTTACTACTCACAATTTGTATTGGTCCCGTTCTCGTAAGCCTCATACGTGTTCAGTTGATGTTGAGAGTAATTATATGGAGTATGTTGCTTTTAGAACTGACCTGATCCGTTGGAATCTTGATTTGGATGAGTTACGAAGCTTTTGGATTGATGGTAATCTGGAGAATGGTGATCGGTCTAATTTTCAGCATTATTACTGTCAATTTTGTAAACACGGGAACGAGTTAACATTTGAACCTGTTCATTATTTTGACAATGTTAGGGGGATGTTTCGTAGAATTGAACCATTTTTAAATGATATTCCCCGTGACACAGTTCTCAGTAAGTCTGAACTTTCGACATACCTCCCCTTTGATAGCAAAGTTAAACTCATGAGAGTTGATTGCAGTCCTTTACTTTGGGTGAAAGAGATCTCTGTATATCACACCCTTGATGGGCATTTGCTGTATAAAAAAGGTGTCCGTTTTGGTGGATATGATACCACCAGTAAAGAGTGGACCGATTATATGGCAAGAACAGGCCACAATTTAAGTGAACCTTTGATATTTCTTCCAATAGCATGTGTATATGGTCCTCGGAACTTTAAAGAGAGTGACGTTCTTCCAATTGTAAATTCTAATGAGAGCCTACAAGAGATTCACAATGAGAGTGGAAACCTTCTTCCAGTTGTAAATGCTTATGAGACCCTCACGGAGAGTGATAAAGAATCTGTAAAGGGTGACATCCTTCTTCCGATTGTAAATGATGTTCCAATTGTAAATGCTGATGAGACCCTCCCAATTGTAAATGCTGATGATACCCTCCCAGAAAGTGACAAAGAGGCTAGAAAGAATGACATCCTTATTCCAGTTGTAAATGCTGAGACCCTCCCAGAAAGTGACAAAGAAAGTGACAAAGAGACTGAAAAGAGTGAAGGTAAATTTTATCCTGATCCTTTTAATCTTATCACTATAATTTATTACATTCATTGATGTGCAGTTTTTATACTCATTTGTGTGGTTTGTGGTTATCATTTTTGTTTGTTTCTGTTTAAGGTTTGCTAATACTTCCCTTGTATCTGCATTGTTATAATTCATTGATGTGCATGATTTGTTTCCTGATTGATGTTTTTACAGGATGATTCCCTATCTTCTGGAGTCTGACTGCTGCTTTTTATTTCGGATTATATGTAACAAGCTCTCCCACTGAATTGGATTTGGTCTCAACATATCAAGATTCATCTGCCCTGCTTTTGGTTTTTGCTATTCTAGGTCGTATATTCTAGTCGTATATATCGAGCTCTGTCCTGATTTTGTATTTGGATGTTATACCAAGTTCAGTCCTGAATTTGGTTTCTTTGTTTGTAAGGAACTCTTGCCGTTGTAGCTGAACTAGCTTCGTTTAGTTGGTTATTTTGCTGTTGAATCATGTTTATGATTTGATATGGATTATGACATGGAACCTTTAATGCGAAAGCTTATCTGATTTCAATGCAATGGCCTTGGGGCTTTGTTATTTGAAGTGTTTTGTGCGGTTTTGTATGACTGATTGTTATTTTGTGAAGATGCAAACTGTTACTGTCCTTATAGGTGGGGCTGAGTTTCATTTTAGCTTGGTAAGCTTGTCAAGCCGAGGCTGTTAATTGTTAATCCCTTCTTTCGGGTTGGGTTTTTGTTGTATTCTGTTGTGTTTTGAATGGATGTGTCATCCTTTAGAAAAAAGGAAAGTGTGATCATTGGAATATTAGTAGTAAGTAGTTGTCTACTTTTTTTTTTTTTACAAACTCCAAATTCGCATTTCTAAGATCTCAACATTCTTATCTCCCCTTTCTTTCTTCTGTTTTTGGAGGTTTTCTTTAGTTTTCTTAATCAAANTTTCAGTCTGATATATGTTATGCCAATACTTGGGTTCTATTGCTTGGGGATTTATTTGGTTTCTGTTTGAAATTAGATAAATGTGATTCAATTTAGAATCTAAATCTAATTCAATTTGTTCAAATATCATGTTGTTACCTTTCAATTGGTTTGTTCAAGTAATGAAAACAGCGTGATTTATTTGTTTTCGGAATAACTGTTGAATCCATCAGTTCAATTTCATTCGTATGTTTATGTCTCGGAATTCGTGGCCAGGTTCAAGTCTAATTTGTAATCTGACAATATTTTGTTTTTGTTTTGGAAACAGACAATTAAGTTTTGGATTCAGTGTGAAGATTTTGAAAACACATGATAATGGTTCCATGTTTTTAGTGGCATTATGCAATCTTTGAACATGATTTATTTGTTGTTTCCTTGACAAGTCTGAATTGCTCGAGCCAAGTTTTCAATTATTTGATTCGGGGCAAGTGCATAATTTTTTTATTTTTTTTTCTCAATTGTCAATAACAAGGATTCATGTTCAAAATTTGTCTTAATTTCATTAAAATTCAAGATTGTGCTGTTTTGCAGCATATTACTTTGAATTCTAATTATTTGATTAGGTTATCAAAATTCTTGAATTTATGGAATCAGATGAGACTCTGGTAATTGTTGCTTGAATGCAAATTGGCTACACAGATAAGACTGATTTAAGAATTATTAAAGTTCGATTGCGGGTATTGAGTTAAATATTCAGCACTTCATGCTTAACTTAAATGGATTGAAATAAAATATTGTCAAAGTAATTTTTTTTGTGTAGATTGATTCATTCAAATTCTTAGAATTGTTGTATTTTGTAATTCATGTGTGTGTTGATTAACTCAAAGATAAATTGACACACGACCGAATTACAAACATACTTGTGATAATAAATTTGTAACAGTTATGAGGTTTTTATGTGAACAATAATTCTACCCAAAAATGGTTTAATTGTTTGACAGAAATTATTGACAAGATATGTTTTTTACAACAAGAATACCACTTACAATTAATATTACTATCCAAATATTTGATATTAATGTTGTGCTTGGTACCTTGCTATGGGTTTAAACCATATTTGGTTTAATTGATTAAATATAGATAATAATGTGAGTACTTCCGTTATTATTATCTTCAGGTTCATTATCTATTGTATCTACTAACTATCCAATTCCCATTTTATCTGGGGACAACTTGAAGAACTGGAAATAATCAATTCTAATTCATTTGGGCTGTATAGATACAAATTTGGCATTAAGGATAGATCAACCTGCTTCTCTTACAGAGAACAACAATATTGAGGAAAACAGTGTTTTGAGAAGTGGAAAAGGTTTAATAGCCTTAGTCCTATGATCATTAAGAAAGGCATTCCAGAAATCTTTCGGGGAATAATATCTGATGATATCACTCGGACTAAAGAGTTTCTTGTCGAGATTGAAAAGCTCTTTACCAAAAGCGATAAGGTAGATACGATTACTTTTTTAAAGACTCTCATTACCATGAGATATCTCGGAAAAGACAACATAAGAGAGTGCATCTTCAGGATGTTCAATATTGCTTCTACGTTGAGGACACTAAAGTTAGACATTTCGGAGAACATACTTGTGCTATTGGCTCTGCTCTCTCTTTCTACTCAATAGGATCGGTTTAAGGTCAGTTACAACTTTTAAAAGGAGAAGTAGAGTCTTAATGAGCTCATTTCTCACTGTGTTGAGGAAGGAGAAAGAATAAAGTACAATAGTGTTGGGATCTATGAGGATCTCGTTATGTACAAGTCACGAATTCAATAGCAAACGTAAGTATATATAGAAATTTTAATGGATGTTCAGTCATACCCACTCCCTTTTATAAGTAAAAGATACCTTAGGGCCCAAGTCGAGCGCATGAGCTCTTCACTAGCTAGCGCGTGGGGCTACCTCGATTGTCAGAACTGTCAGAGCCATACGGGCTGTCAGAGGTGGTTACAAAATGTGGATCAATCATTCAGGTGATGCCACATGGTTTCACCCATATGAGGGGTTTAATTCCCCTAAGATTCCTTCTAATTACTAAGCTCTCTTTATTAGGTGTCCCGATTATGGACTTGACCTCCATTGTCTTTAAGTAAAACGCTGTCGGCCACAAGCCTTGTTGTCCTGTCTCTCTGGTTGATCGCTCGACCAGCTCCTCCTTCTCTTTAACCTTCGACCCATCTCTCTGAAAGTCTCCACTCGACCTCTTGACTTTTCCTATCCTCTAGTACTTTCTTCGACCAGATGGTTTTTTAACTTGAGTGATCCTCTATCTCCCTTCGACCCGGTGATCAGGCCGGTTTGATCTGGTTGCTTTTCCAGTCCAGTCGATGGAGTATGGTTATCTCATATCATATAATAAAATAATATCAATCAATCATCCTCACATATCACATTAACAAATTCACTATTGATCCATTCATAATATTTAATAACTCATTACCTCCAATCACCTATTTCTTACTTTTGCATCACATTAACTTTAATCCTTATATTTTAAGCATTGTTTAATACAAACTAAAAATCAACTCAAACTAAATTCAATCAACTTTTTTTTAATATATTAACCCACTTTATTCAATATATTCTATGAAATTCAAAACAACTTAAAATATGACTTAAAATTCCAACCAAATACAGCCTGGGGAGTTAAGGACATGTATATATTTTTTTTCTTTCTATATTATCTAATTTGTGCAATTTAAACCACACCATCTGACATCCCATGATCACTCAATTTAATCAAACGCAATTTCAGTATATATATATGTAACCAGGTCGCAAAAATTACAAATTTATTTAACTTATGCGATTTGAGATACACCACTTGATATATCATGATCACTCAATCTAGTTAAATTGTAGCACCATCGGAAGCAAGGTTTGTATAACCCATCTCATCAAAGTTACCCATCTATGACCATTACAAGATGCTACAAATCAACACTCAAATTCAATAAAAGGCTAGCCTTATAAATACACCCCCTCATTTAACCAAACCATTCAACACCAATTAGCTTACACCAAAATCCAGATGTCGATTCTCTCGATTCTCTGACTTTGGCCCGACTACACCAGTGGATGCCGATTTAGATTTTACACGATTAGACACGAAGCTTCCTACAATTATAGTACTTGCAAAGTTCGCGGTCGATCAATACAACAAGGAGAACAAGTCCAACTTAGTTTATTCAACTTTGTTTGGGGCCATTGCCTTCACGAAAGCACAAGGGACAAAGTATGAACTAGTCATTTTTGCTGCCAACAATGGGGATTTGCGCGATTACAATGCGGGTTTGTGGTTTGATGGAAATGAGAAGAGACTCATTCTCTTCAAGGAAAACGAATAATCCAATTAATGATGTGTTGGATGCATGTCAATTGTACCATGAAAGGCCATGCCATATATATCTATATAGTAATAATTAATGCGTGCTTTTCTTACTAGTTGGATAGTTTTCTTAATACTTTGGACAAGATAATAATCTCTTACGGTTTCCAATTTAGATATTTCAATTGAATTCAAATCAACTTTTGTGGACCTCATACGGTTGTGAATTGAATATTTCAATGAAATAATTATGTGTATACAAATAATCTCAATTCATATATTCAATTCATACTTAAATTTAATTTAATTTTACCTAACTTTACTATCTTCAATATTATTAATATAAGTAAATAATATGAATCAATTATTCATGCACATCACATCAATTATAATTATTATTCATCAACTCATATAATTTTAACTAACCGTCACTTCAATCAACCCGCTTCTACTTTCACATCAAATCAAATTTAATTATTTTGATATAAATTCAAAATCAAACTAACAACTAACTATATCACATTTTTTTTCACACGCCTAGTAACTAAGATATCTACCAAAATCAAACATTGTATATGGTGTTGGCTATTTTCTATTATCTATCGTTATTAGTAAAATATTTATGCATTACACGTGTTAATTACTTAATTGTTTAAGAAATCAGTGCATAAAATATTGCCTTCCTCGACTATTGCCTCAATTACTACATTTTTTTTTAATTTTAGATATTGTTTAAATATTATACTATTTTTTTATATTTTTAAATAATATAATATAATAGGTTTGACATAAAAATTTAAGTAACTTAATAAATAATATTTTTAATTATTTTTCAACGAGATTTGATGAATAGTGTATATTTTATTTGTAAAATTAAATTTAAATATTTTTATTTTATATATGCGATATAAATGTCCAATCAAAAATATTCAAAAGATTATTAATATAATATGTTATAAATTAAAAATAATATATTGTCTTCTGTAATTTTATGTAAATGATAAAGAAATCAATGCTCAAAAAGGGAAGTTCAACTTTGCAAATCGGTGCACGGGTTCTGTAAACTGGCCATAGAAAAGCTAATGTAGCCGAAGAATATAAACTGAAGATTGTGATATAGTTTGCACGAGTTATGCAAATCGGTGCACCGATTTACAACAAATTAAAGATTATGATATTATTTGTAAAAGTGAAAAGATTGTAATTAAATTGCAATTTCCATAAAAGGAGACAACTTTGCCCAATATTTATCAACCCTATACATTAATACTGTGTTAACCTGAAATAACCTCGCTTTTTTTTAATGGAATAGTGGATTTGAAATGGCAGTTTGGTTATATATTAATCTTGACCTATTCAAGTTTTTTCTGCAATTTTAATATTAAAGGACTGAAATTACAATAAAATATTAAATAATAAGATAGAAGGCGAAAACTTAGAATCTTTATACTAAAATTGTTAATCCAATTGACTATAAATACATTTTTGCCTATATAATAATCTTGACCAATTCAAGATGAATACCAACTCATTTATATATGATTACTTCAATTCACACACTAGATTTCATACACGTGATACACATTTATGTCCTCGACACACACACATTACATATATATAGTCAATACAATGCATGCAATAAAATTACTTCAAAAAGATTGCGGATTATAAATATATCACGCTAATTAAACTCGCCAAACATACCAACAATGAATTAAATACTCCGCAAGATCTGAACCTCTAATTAACGATTTCACAAACAATGGCCGGAAAGTCACACTCCTTCCTTGCGATTCTCAGTTTTATGGCGGCTGCCGCCTGGCTTTCCGGTATCAGCACCGCCACTTTTGTCAGCTCAGGGTCTCGGTATGCCCGGGCCGGTCAAAGCCTGGCCAGTGAGAGCATCGGGCCTGTCATCGTGTTGAACCCAAGACACCCATATGTGGTGAAACTTGCGAATTTCGCAGTGGATGAATACAAAACGAAGACTAGTCAGACCAAGTTCAGCTACAGTCACATATACCGGGCTGCAGTCAAGGATAGCCCGCACGGAAAAATTTATTCTTTCTTGATTGCGGTGGATGATGAGACCGGGATGAGTGGCTACGACGCGGATTTATTAGTCCATGGAGATGTGAAAGAGCTTGTCGATTTCCGCAAAAGAGTATGAATATATTTACGGCCATAAAATTTGTCATAAGACGAGTATTAGCCTAAAACAAGTTGTAATATGCTCGAAAATTATATGTGGGGAAGTCAAAGATGTTCGTGTTTGTGTTATTATATATAGACATGGCCAAGGGCTGACCCGGTCCGCCAGTTCGACCTATGGCCCACTAGTAGCCGTTGGTGGCCCGCTAATTTGAGCCGTTGGATCCTTTTGACTGTTGGAGATCCAACGGCCAAAATTTTTTTATTTTCTTTAATTGGTTCCGATTCGACTCGGCCCGATCGGAACCCCCAACGTTCAGCCAACGGTCAATTTTTTAAATCTGACCGTTGGATTATTTGACCGTTGAGATCCAATGGTCAAAATCCGCCTGACTCGATTGACCCGGCGGGCCAACTCAGACCCAACGGGTTCCGTAATAAAAAAAAATCGAAAATAATAAAATAAATTCCAAAAAATTCTTATAAATAACTACACCAACCCTCCCCCAAATCAGATTTTTCACACCATTCGCAACATTCTTCTATCTCTTCTCTATTTATTTCCAAGTTGTTGAAGTGTTAGTTTTTAGTTTTTGTGCTCGATTTGCTAAAAATCGGTCAAATTCTATATAAATTCGATCTTGAACTCCTAATTCTATATGTTCACTCTCATTTCGGTTCCGATTCTATAAATTATTTACATAATACTTTCTTATTTATAATTCTATCATTTTTCACCTCTCTTCTTTATTTATAAAATCTATTCTAGTTATAAAATGTCGCGTTCTCGTGGCGGTGGTCGTTGTGGTGGTCGGCCACCACAAAAGCGTAAAAAATGTAGTTGAATCTTTTTTCGAATAGACATCCATTGCCGATGTCGAGACAGACGGTATACTAGGACGTTTCTGGTCTTCCCGATGACATTGAGCCCGAGACGGTCCAACGAATCTTTCACTCTATTGAGGAAATCCACGAGAGCTTACAGTTCGAGGAGATCCAGGAGCAACCATATGAAAACAATTTCACTCTATTGTATATTATGAATATACACAAGGTTCTACGTTGAATTTCTCGTTTTACTTCTTCAGGAAGAATTTTTTTTATTATATCACATCTTACCAACTTATTTAAACAATTCAATTATTTATTATTTAAATTTCCTTTATCTCGAATACTCAAGTCCATCCATGACTTTCACATATACTCAATAGTCATGTAACGTTGTTGTCAGAAATATTAACTTGTAGAATCAATGATAATAAGAGAATTTATCAAAATATATATTTGAGTCTCTGCAAATATAATCCAATAGCATCTCGCTATATCTACAACACACCATATCACATGCTTCATATTGATATACATTTTCCTTATAGGATATATCGTGTAGTGAGTGAAATTTCTCTTTCTGCTTTCTTTCTATATCAATCAACTTAAACGCTTCTAGCACTTACATTCTTTTAATTTAGATCATTATTTGAGATCAGGGGCGGATCTAGAAAAAACTTTTGGGGGGGGGACTAGAGTTGTTATTCGAATAAAAATGTTTGCGAACACAACTCGGTTGACTCGTAAAAACTAGAGGTAAGCTTATTCTTATAATTAAATGAACTAATCTCAAACACTTAATCGAATTTGTGTATTAGTTGAGTTGGGTCTCACTTCTTTTTTTAAATGAGTCAAGCCGACTGATTCATTTATCAATGAAACACGAACTTGAACATGATATATTTTTATTTTACTCCACTTGAATAACACCTTTAGAGAGGATATATAATTTTTTATAACACACACACATATAAGGCATACAATTTCTTATATATTAAATAGATAAAATAAATAATAAAAATGCTTTACAAAATATATAACTTGTGAATTTTGGTATTTTAAAATTTTGCTTGAGATTATTTTAGATCACAAGACTCATTGACAATTGATCTCAATATCAATTAATTCAGTGTTAATAGTTATTGCAATTACTTTTCGTTCCCATGAAATTGCGTATCTTGCATGCTTTGTTATTTCAAAATTTTTTATTTTGAGATATTACATGTATCATACATTCAATTTAATTGAATCCTATATTACAAAGAAAAAACACCAACTATTATAGATGAAGAGTGAAAAACTAGTTACAAAAATATTATGTACTTAAAAATGATTAATAGACAGAGAAATATAATTATTAATAATATTATGGAGTCTAGATATAAATTGAATATGCTTATGCTATGTATTTATGTAGTAAAGGGTAAAAGTTTGATAAAACACATATAATGTGTATATATAAACATAGTAAAAAATCAAAAGTTTGGGGGGGACAATAGCCCCCCTATAATACATATGGATCCGTCCCTGTTTGAGATAGTAAAGAAATCACAGAGACAAGTATGTTGTCAACAACTATGATATTTGATTTATATTTTTCTCTCAACCATATATATATATGCAATTTCATATTTACTGGCCAAATTTATAATCATTTCTCATAACATCTAATTTTGGCCGCTCCGCATTTCCAGTACTATAATGGTTAATGCACGTGTAAGATGTACTAGTAAACTCACCTGGAGTTTCTCATATAAGAATGTTAATTCTAAATATACATTATCCACGGACTTTCATACATCATATATTAATTATATCACATTATGTTTCTAGTATTAAGGAGTCAATCATTCCTTATTTTGTGGTACATTTATATATAAAAGAATTGGACAGTCCATTATTATTATAGTTTTGTTTGGCAGAAACATAATATGTACTTGCAACTTAATTTTTACTGTGTTTTTTCAATATTGAAGACATTAATATTTCACATATTACATGGCATTAAAAAAATATATGCATATCTCCCCCTAAGGTCATGAATATATCTTCATACATTATGGCAAGCACGTACCAAATAATAAACTGATTTCATATAATGACCTCTAGGTATTAGAAATTCCACAGAGTATAAAAACCAGAGCATGTATAGTTTGTAATATAGACCTATAAAGGTAAGAATTGGTGGTGATATAAATGGTTGCATATTAAAACCTTCAACTTAGTGATTTTATTTTATTTAAAAAACACGTGCATCAGGAACGACATATATACAAGTTTATCATTGTAGCTATCAATAATAAAACGTGTAATATGAATTTTATCAAATATACAAGTAAACATAAATAATTGAAAAACATTTGTATATTGACTTAATCTTTGTAACATTCTGGTTACATAAATTCATAAAGAGTATATTGTATATGTAGAGCTAATTTAAAGTTGAAAGACCATGAATTATCCAAAAATCAACGAGATTATTACTCGATCAATCATTGAATGATAATTATTACTTAATTCTTGTTTAATTATGATACTAATCAGAAAGACCAATCCTCCAAGGATAGTATTCAAATTTACTAGTGATACTTTTAATTGAACAATTCCTTTAAGGATATTCAAATTTGTAGATTTAATATTCAAAGGGATATTTGCTCAGCAATTCATGAAAGAAGTGGAAAATAACTATATAAGCCGAATATCATGCATTTAGTTCATCAGTCAATTAGCCCAAAGATCTAGATATTCAAATTAATTTAAGTCCAATAAATTTAGATCAGGTCTATACTCAATGCATAAAATCACGATATAAAATATACAACTATAATTTGCAAACTTAATTGATGTCGTAATTACGAATTTTGATACATGCAGTTTCTCATATATGTGTCAAACAACATACAGATGCCACATATTAAAAATATTAAAATTAATCCACGCACAGTTCACCTATATTTAGATGTTTAGACAAAATAATGAAATACCTAGACATTTTTATTTTATGTCTTCAGAACTTAAAGTTAATGTATGGATGTTCTGTCTTCAAGAGTGAAAAATAAACGAAATTTCATTGTTTTAACATATATTCTCCTTCATTATAAAAAATAATCTTCGTCTAGAGGATAATATCTGTTGGACATTTTTTGTTTGTGTTAACATTTTTAACGCTTAACAAATAATGTTAAGAATAATAAGATACATATTACACAAAATTTATTCGTATACAAATAACAATTAAAGTCAAAGAAACATGTAAAATTAAAATGATTTTCAATAACATATCTCATGTTACACTACGTTAAGAATAATTTTCTAATGTTTTCTTGTACCCAAAAAAAAAAAAAAAAAAAANAAAAAAAAAAAAAAAAAAAATTCTAGTGTTACGAATTCGTATTTTTCACCTTCACATGCGTCATTAGTCAAACACTCACTCCGCCTTTGGTAGAAAAATTTGATGTAATTCATGATTCGACATCTTCAATGTAGAAAATGCCACACGCGTTACAATGAAGCATCTTTGAAGACCCAAACTACTCCAAATTTGTATTTTTTTAACTTTCAAATGCGTCATTAGTCAAACAGTCACTCCACCTAATTTGGTAGAAAAAATTCATTTAATTTATATTTTTTTCATCGTCAAGGTAGAATTAAAATGCCACACACACGTTACAATGAAGCGATTGTCAATATTGTCTCATCCTCATGTTTATGACTGCATAAAATATCCTTAATTTCGCAATAGGTTAAGTCTCATGATTTCAATTTGTCGATTACAATGTAATTACAGGAGGTAATTAACTTATTATATTAACTTGTTAAATAAAAAAATTAATATATGTGACACCGTAGAGTGGATATTGTTTGCGCCACTGATTTGCACCATGGCCTTATTACTTTTTCCAACACGCATACACCAAATTTCTTTTCTTCTTATTTTTTTTTTTTTAATATATCTATACTCTTTATACTATAAATAAATAACTTTAACCCATCTCACAAGAGGAAATAAAAAAAATTAAGAAAACATGCCCCTCAAATCTCGCTCTTTAGTTATTCCATTGATCTTGTTGAGTGCGATGGTTTTGATTCCCAATGTAGCCTACTCCTCAGACGTCGGCCGGCCGGCGACCTTGAAACCCGAATATCTCAAGGGCGACGAGGTGTTGGAGATCGGTAATTTCTCTGTGACTGAATACAATAAACAGAACAAAAAAAATCTCGAATTTAATGACGTAGTCCAAGGCACCAAACAAGTGGTGAACGGAATTAAGTACAGTCTTGTGGTCAACGCCACGGATGCCGGAGCTGCCGGGAACTACTCCGCGGTTGTGGTGGTCAAGGCGTGGGAGAAGATACCCAATACGCTCGAATCCTTCAAAAAAATAATGAGGGGTAATTAATTATTATGCGCTTTAAATAAATTTCGGTTGAGGAAGAGAATAGTGAGTCACGTACGGGCGTGTTTAATTATGTGTGTAGTGTAATAAGGCTCATTGCAAGAGCGCTTAATGAAAGTAAGTTTTGATTGAATCAGTTTTTATCATTAATATTATTAATATAATTAAATAATAATAATTATAATTTTTTTACATCACACCAACTTTAATTCACTATTTATTTATTCACATATTTTTAACTATTTATCACTTCCATAATATATCTCATACTTTTATATCCCATCAACTTTAATTATTAACAAAATTAATTTCTCATCCCACTCAATCAAGTTTATTCATAAATAACTCACTTCAAATAAGAATTTAATTTTGATCGATTTTAACTAGTTATTATACTTAGTCTCTTACCAATCACCCCTTTAGCAACTGATTCCAGACAAACATAAATTTGCATTGTGTTAGAAAGGATAGGTACCTTATTATTATTTTTATTATTATTATTATTATTATTATTATTATTATTATTATTATTATTATTATTTAGGTTAGAAGATCAAACAAAAAGTAAAATGCAAATTTGCACCATATATCTTCGCTTAATTAACTTGAGTATGAGATGTGATGCTTAGTAGAGGTGATTTATTTTGTTGAAAAAATGCTATGGAGTTTTATAGTGACCGATTTAGTAAGGACAAATGTAAATATGCATTGTCTTCGAATGAATGAGAAAATTAAATTTATAATTCATAATCCTCACTGTAACTAATTTTTTAAACTGTAGATTAATACATCTATCATATATTTGACGATATGGAATGGGGTGTGTTCAATTTTGTTTTTCCTTTTTTTTTTATTTTTTATTTTTTTGCTGTTGATAAATGTGAACTGTGAATGGAAAGTGGTAAGCTTAACCCTCTCTAATAAATCTTCAAAGGCATCATGATATAAATTAAAGCAGTGATAATTAACTTTTATGATTTATCATAATAAAACTTTAATCATGATGAAAACGTTTAATTCGTAGATCCCAAACTGATCCTAGTAATCAGTGTATATATACGTCGAATTAATGATCAATCACTATGGATTCTCGAGACGTGAAAGATGTTGACATGTGGGATGAATGTATCCTATAATTTGTCAATATTTCTAACGAGATAATGATCAATCACTATGGATTCTCGAGACGTGAAAGATGTGGACATGTGGGATGAATGTATCCTGTAATTTGTCAATAATTCTAACGAGTTACACCAGTACATTTTGGATGTATTGAATGAATCTACAAAAAGAGAAAATTATTTAATACTGACTAAGTAAATAATCTAGACCTTAGTAATTGTTGCGTTTGTTGCGTTCTCTTAGCCAGTAAGATAATAAACATGCATATGTATACTTATTTGATTTACCAAGGGTGGTACCAATTCTGTTGTTTTGGTAAGTGATGTTTTTTACATGATGTGTCGTTAAAATTGTTTACGCTCAATGTGTCTCAGTTCGCCAGGTTGATAACGTCCCCAAAATGAGCTCCGAGAGGATTCTTATGTTAAGCCTTGCAAGAGGATTGATTTTTGACGTAATAATAAATAACTGGGTGGTATTATTGGAAATAAAAGTTGATTAACAATATTGTTAGTAATTAAATTAATCAACGTATATTAGATCTTTAATATAGAGAGGTAACTCGAGCAATTAATATGGAGAAGAATTAATTGTAATTCAAAGTTGTGTTCTTTTAATATGGAGAAGAATTAAGATAATAAACATGCATATGTATAGTGGAATGTTCTTTTATTCAAGTGTCGTCAGGCTCATTAAGTTGTGTTCGCACTTGGGCGCATATGTTTAGCACCTCCTTAGAGTTCCTATTGTAGACTATAAAAATCCCAAGTCTCTCCCCAACATTATTCAACACACATAAGGTCTCATATCTTGAGAAAATTTTCGTGAGTCTTAGATTGTGAGGATTAAGAGTTCAGTTTAGTCGCACCACCAAGATCAATAGGCCTGGTTTTTTGCATCCCATCGAATATATATATATCCCCGCTACTTGTCTGATCAAGACGAAACTTGGAGAGAACGATACCGACGATAACTGAATCCATTTGATCGATCGTCGCAGCCAATCGGACCACTGTCGTGCCGTCACCAACGCCTCACCACAGCGCCGCTCACGCACGCCCTCAGAGAGCTTGCAGGCACAACCCCGCGCTCGCAGCCACATCGCAACGCCAGCCACTGCGCACGCCTGCAGACGGAGCCACGACACGCATGCATGCAATACAACCACACGCGCGCGGATGACGCCACCAGCAGCCAACCGCATGCAGCGATGCAACGTGAGCCACAGACATGCAGCAAGGCGATGCGCACACTCGCAGTGACACTCGACGATTGCGACGTGCACAACCGGCGTGCCCGACAAGGTGACCCGGAGACTTGACGAGGATCAGCAACGAAAGTGGACTCAAGGATGCATCTCAGAACTGTTGTCTAGTCCTATAGGGTGTGTAAGTCATCTTAGAGTCGATAATTTTTTAAACAGTAAGTCATGATCCTAACTATATATTCCGTTGAGTTAGGATTTATTTTGATAGATATGGATATGCATATCAAATAAATTTCTATAGAACCCAACAACTAGTATCAGAGCTCAGGCTTAATTTGTCTTTGTACACTATTCGAATTAGGAATGTGACATATGTGAATTAATTGTGTATAAGTTCAGCTCACAGTAGACAAGAATTGAAAATAATTGATTATTTGCTGGTGTTCTTGAAACCGTATGTGTGTGTTTTAATTCATGTATGTTTTATAAGCCTAGGGCATGTCGAGAATTTTTGAATTGATGAATTTTTGTAATAATTTATTTGCGCGGTGGGACACCACATAGTTTAAATGTATTACTACGACCTTTGCATGGGTCATAGTATTAAATTATGCAATTGTTATTATATTGTTCAATTGACCTGGTAGACGCAAACGAGCCCGGACGATCACGACGATGACCGACGCATCCCAACAAGATGAGGTGAGCCAACCGCGAACTTGCTATCGTCGGTGTGCATGATGTTGTGCGCATGCAAGCGCGACGGCTGATAGCTTGCTGCCAGGTGCGGGCACTACCAAGTCGTCGCGCAGTGCGGGCGACGGTGGATTCGCAAGGAGCAGCATGCGCGATGACACTGGGATGATGTAAGGGAGATGGTCGAGCGATTAATTATTGGCATTGTTATATTTTGGCATCCATGTCAAATGTACTGCACGACATCAACATTAACCCATGGATTTTGCTTCTGACATACTCTTCCATCTCAAGGAGTTATTTGGCCATCATTCACAGACTACCTGACCGGAGGGCACGAGGGTATTTGAAACTTTTAAGGAGAGTATAATAGAGTACGCTAAGTGTGTTCGAACAGAAAATATAAAAGCAGAAGCAAATAACTTAAGAATATGTTTGAGAAGTGTCGCACTACCCCTCAAAGCTCTTTCATTAATAGATCGATTTGCGAGCAAAAATGTATAGCTTCAGCTTACAAGACTCGAACTCCCTCCTAGTCTCGCGAACACTATACCCGACTTTATTAACTAATCCTCTGGCTACAAACATGGACTTCACAATAGCTATATATGGATCCCTCCAAGATATACTAGTACTTAATCCCTAAGCACGAAAAGTGTTGTAAAAGAAAAAATGAACTCAGGTCTTCAGTGGTGTAAGAATACTTAAAAACTATACATAATAAAACTCGAGAACTCAAAAGCTCACGAACATTCAAAGGAGTCTTCAAATATGATAAACTACGCTAATTGCAGTAATCTTCAATTGAGTATTTGTGTAAGCTTATATACAATCTCCTCAAGGTAATGAGTCTTCACTCTTCCTTCCTTTTGGAGTCGATTTCCTTCATTCTTTAAATCCTCAAGATATGATAGAGATCTTTCAATGAAAGAGCCAATATCTTCATCTTGCCATCTTGATCGACCAGCTCTGTCTCTTCCTTAAGTACACGATCTTCTACAAATAACCAAACACATATTATGGTAAAAATAACTTCATATAAATATAAAAAAAAAAAGTCTATCAGATACTAGTATATACTTAGCATACTTAACAAAATATTATCTGGGCTTAAACAAATAAGAGAGATAGAGAGAGAGAGAGAGAGAGAGAAGTATCTCCTTTCATTTTTTTGTTTGCTAGAACATCAAGATATTATTTAGAACTTCTTACCAAAACTAAATCTAACAATCTCCTCCTTTGAAATTCAGTTCGAAAATTATATATTAAGATGACCTACAATAGAAGTTCAAGAAACAACAAGTACGCAAATAACCATGTTCGAACAAAAATGTTACATCACATCTCATCATGTAGTGTTAAAACACCAAAAAACCAAATAAAAATAGAAGTCTTCTGAATATCCAACAACAATCTTGCAAATATTATAAACAAATCCTAAACAAACGAGTAAGCGTTCAAGTCATCAGCAACCAACAAAAGCAACAAACAGAAGCAAACAACCAACCACCAAGATAATACAAGGTTCTTTTACAAAAGACATCACTACATCCCTCATGAAACACACAAAAGCAACAACAGACCAACAAGCATTACTCAGAATCCTCGTCTATAGCATCATCATCTTCATCATCATCATTCTCCCCCTTTTTTGAACTCTTAGATGTCAAAGGGATAGTCCCAAGAGATGCACAGCGGCGACCTTTAAGCGACTTGAGCACATGCTTGAGGTAGCTCTGCTGAAGGGAAATCTCCTTGCCAACTCGTCCCAAACCCCTATGTGCTGAGTAACGAAATCTTTTCAATTGGCAGGAACAAAGATAGACTCGACAGGGCCTTTTGCCTTTTGTGTGGTACGCTCATTCAGTGTGCGAATACTCACAGTACGGGGGCAATTGAGATTCACTAAAACATGGGTTAACCGTCAACCCAACTGAACTCAAGAAGGGCCACAGAAAGCATGAAAAAGGGAGAGTGCGACGAGGAGCAGTATTGACCAGAAAGGCACGCAAGCAATCAAGAATGATAGCTCCCAAGTTGATCGGTGTCACCCCAATAGATCACTTTACACTGCAATTCCATCAGCTGATGTTTGTCCATCGCCAGGGTCCAATTGCAAGACCCTATCTTATGCTATAGATTGGCTATGAGACCCACGAGACTAACGGGATAATTGGAACCACCACTTCTCATAGCGACCATTGGACAAAACAGATAAACAGACAAACCAAAATGTTTATTAAACAAAGACAAATCAAGATGAACAACTGTATTAAGAAGGGGAAACTTAAGAAAGCGAGGGCTTTTAGAATCAAAGACAGGCGGGGTTCGCATTGAATTCTGCACAATTTGAGAGCAAAAAAGAGCAAACTTAGAGACGAGGACTCAATCCGACAGACTTGAATAAATCTAGAACACCAACCTCTTCGCACTTTTTGTCACCAACCTCATAGAGAGAGAATATTGCTCCTGAGCATACAGCATTGTGTGTGTGCCTGTGTGTACGTGTTTTGAAAAATTATGTTTAGATTTTTATATTGTTGATGGTTATCTTCTACTCTTTCATGTCTATTTAATCACACTATCAACCTAACCATAAACAACCCACTTTAATAGCCACATCCTCTTACTATTAGTTTTTTCTTATTTTATTTTATTTTTTCTTTTTGTTAAGCATTTTGGATGATTTATTTAGTGGTACCCGCATTGTTATATTTTATGCGCTCACGTAATCACGTTCTTCTTTTTATTATAGTTTGTGTCATGGTGCACTACCAAGCTTGGACTATGTCATTCTCTTCATTCATGTTGTATTGTTGTATATTGTTGAGTTGGAGAAAGTAATGTTAATTTTTATTCTTATGTTTTTACCTGAATTTAATTTAAGTTATTTAAAATTCAATTATAAATGTAAAAGAATTTTATTATGTTCTTCAAATCGTATATTACATTGATATCACATTCTTATAAATTATATATTTCTTTTACTTATAAACAATAAATGCACGAGAAAATAGAAATTTAAAGACATATCATAAAAAAATACTCTTAAAACACGTCATGTGCTTGACCATCTTGTGCACGGCTGTTTAGCTAGACATGGCCATTTTTCGGTTCCTGGCCTATTACGGTTCACGTCTTTTGTGCACCTGAACCGGCGGTTCACGGTTCAGCATCGACCTGCCAATTCAATGTTGAACCAAAAAATAAAATAAAATAATAATAATAATAATAATAATAATAATAATAATAATAATAATAATAATAATAAAATTAAATTTAAATAAAAATTTCGACATTGAACCATTGATTTCAATTTATGTTTGGAACCGAAATCGGAGGTTTAATTTTTAAAAATAGTTGAACCTGAACCGGCTCGAGTAAAACCACGAGCCCGTGTAAGGCCTGTGGTCAACGAGCCTGACTGGGCCGATTCCGTGTCATTTTGACCTGTGGCCTAGGGTTGTTTTATCAGTCAAAACCGACTCGAATCGACCAAAATTTCGGTTTGTCCAACCTAAAAAACAAAAACCGAACCGAATTCTAAGGTTAGATTCATTCCAAACTGAAAATCCGTCGGTTGGATCGGGTCGGTTATCGGTTATCGGATAAAATGGAGATATGACAAAAATAACATCTACAATTGGTGACTTATAATTTACAAAAATAACAATAGCAAGCTATTTAATAATTTAACCAAAACAAACTAAAATGCATTAAAAGAAATTGACTTTCTTGAAATTCTCAGATCAACCATTTTTAAATGTATTTATGTCCCAATTTTTTGTTTCTCCCTTTTATATCATTTCGACGTAAGGCTTCAATTTTCTCGTCAAATATTGTTTTGGAATTAGAATCAAATTTTAATTTTTTTTTTAATTTAAACAATTGAATAATGGAATGTTGTTTCATGTCCGAGCAACTTTAATATATTGAAAGGTCATTCAAAAGCTACCATGCTTTTGATATGTAACAATGATGCCCAGAAAATTATATCCTCATTTTTCTTCAAATATACTGGTGAGAGGATGACATTAGTAGCTCCAAAATTAATTATTCTTGGACTTATAATTCTTCGACTTTATGGGCATGTGAGGAGAAATGGGCCTGGTGGTGTACGTGGGCGAACGACTAAAACACAGGAGCTTGATTAACTAATATATGGGTTTTTGTTAAGTATATGAATAGTATCGGTTTTCAGTTCAGTTCGATTCGGATAACTCCATACTTTTATCCACACCGAACCAAAATCTGAAATTTAAAAAAAAAAATATAAACTGAAAACCGAAACGAATATTCGGTTTCGATCTTGGTCCAAACCGAGTTTTCAATTTCGGTCGGTTGACCAAATTATGTGTACCCTACCGTGGCCACCTCTGCGTTTAGGTTTGGCCCTAGTAAATACACAAGTGTTATTAAGTATTTTATTGTAACTATTTAATATAAGATAATAAAATTAAAAAATGGCTTTTTTTATATATATAATTATTAATTAATTTACATCCGCTTGTTGAACTGTTACTGGAATTTTAATTTTATTTTAAAATAATATTTAAAATAATATAATTAAAGTTGATTTGATAAAAAAATATGAAAAAAATGATTTAAAATAATAGTTAGTTAAAATTATGTCAGCAGATGAATAGTGAAATAAAATTGATGTGATGCGTAAAAATAATTAATTTTTATTTTTTAATTATATTGATAATATTGAAAATAATAAGAATAAGTTAAAATTTGAGTTAGATTTTGAGTATAAATTAAATGTAATTAAATTATTTTGTAAACAATTGTGGTCTTAAAAATAAAATAAAAACAATAACGGGGTTGTATGATAGTAGTTTTATTTTTAAAATCAGTTTAAAATCTATATCTATATCTATATCTATATCTATATATATATAAAGAGGTTGTTGGAAAAATACATTAATAGAAAGTTTGACCAAATAAATATAATGTTTGACTTACTATTAATGGAAAGTTCGAAAAAACACATGTAAATCTTTAGAAACAAAATCTGAATCATATTTTTTCGGTAACAAATTTGGAGATTCTTATGGCAAAATTTGAATCCCATTTTTTTCGTATCATATTTTATTTTTTTACCAAAATTTAAATCATATCTTTTTTTGTAACAAATTTAGAGATTCTTATGCAAAAAATGTGTCAATTATTTATGAAAACAATTCTAAATACAAATCAATTTAAAAACCGTGCAAATTAGATACAAATTTACAAAACAAATAGTTGTATAATTTCTAACCAATTCTTCCAATCTTAATGAATAATTTTTCTTTCAAAAAAGTGTGTAAATTGGTTAAAGCCACATGCAATTTTTATTTTAGAATAAAACTGATATTTGGACGGGATGTACATTCAAAATTGTGCCCACATTTTTTGGTAACAAAAGCGGTTCATCTTTTAAAATAATTAATTGCACACCATATTTAGAAAATTTTAGATATTTTAAATCATAAAATAGGGTAGCATTAAATACCCCTAAAATTATGGGTTTTGTTGAATTCATTTTTGAGAATTTCGACAGATATTAAAGTGAATATGAAATTCAAAATCTCTTCTTATTTTATTTTTAATAAAATCTGCAACCAAATATACGTGTGGTTTTGAAGTGAAAATTTGAAATTCAAAATCTCTTCTCATTTTAGTTACAAGAAAATCGGACTGCATTCAACACTTGTACCAATTTAAAATTATTCCTTAAATGAAGGAATTTATAGATAATTGTTATCTCTACTCAATCACATGATTATTTTCAATATAAAAAGAGATAGATTACAAATTAGTGAATCATATATTACCTAATTCAATATCTTAACATTAAAGAATAAATTCATAGTATTATGTAAATCCGTATCTCATATTATTATATCATTAAGAATATATTATAGTTATATTATCAAATCTTTTAAAGATATTAAATCCATATTGTAAAAAAATAATTCATATAATTTTATAACAATCTACTACACTATTTAACAATATTTATTTTTATTATATAATAAAATAATAATTAAATATTATATACTGGACAACAATAAGTAAAACTGTTATTTTCTCTTATATCAAGGGATAAATTTGTATGTTAAAATTAAATTTTTATTAGTATAAATATTTTAGTGAGATAATATATTAATTACAAGCTAGCCTTAACATACTCATATTTAATGTTCTGGTTAAAAAAAAAAAAAACAACGCAAAGATGTGGACAAAAAATTATAATAATTTTTAAAAAATAAATAATAACCTTATTATTTTTTAGGGGGTATGAAAAAAATTCATTTAATATGTTTGTCTTATAATGAAAAAGTATCATCATCCGACGAGTCCGGTGCGCCTATAAGTAAAAATTCGAAAAACCTCGCCACTCTCTTTGACTCCAAATTTTCTGGTAATCCCGAAATCTCAGTTTAAACTTTATAAATCCAATCCGATTATCCGAAACTCCAAGTCAAGGAGTGATATTAACAATCAAACTGACATCGGGCAGTCGCGAGCCGAAGGGATTCCGTGGGATCGACTCAGCTAAGGAAAATAGGAGGCTGTTTGTCAAGCGTCGGCGGCGGCAGCCGCGGCCGTTTAGGTCCGCTGCCGGCGCGCCTACCCTCAGTGCAGCCATCGCTGGTTCGGAAGCTATCTGTGGCCGAAAACAGCGATGGCGGCGCTGAGAATGCCAAAATGAAAGCCTTGTTCAAGTCGAAGCCCAAGACACCCGCAGATTTGGTGAGACAGACCCGCGATCTACTCATCTTCGCCGACGACGTCGCTCCCGACACTAAGGAGAGCAAGCGCGATGATAAGGTTGTTTTATGACGTAATTTTATATATATATATATATATTATTATCATCTCTGTAAGGGCTACCGTGCCTTATAATTGGCAATTGTGTGGTTATTTGGAGTTACCATGTAGTAGAGTGATCGTCGCCACATTTTTTTTCTCTGATTTTTCTCTGATTTTAGTAGTAGTATTGTGTAGATGATGGAGTTGGGAAAGCTTATCCGAGAATTAAAACAAGTTCTTTATGGGGATAGTGAATCTGAGCCCGTGGCAGAAGCCTGTGCACAGCTGACGCAGGAGTTCTTCAGAGAGAATACTCTTCGTCTGCTAATTATATGTCTTCCAAAGTTGAACTTAGAGGTAACTTTAGGATATCTCTTTTAACTTGATCCATACAGGTTATCAGGATTCTTATTTGGCGTATTTAGCTTTACTTTTGAATTGAATGGGAGGTATGGTGATAAGACATAATATTGCAAATTTTGGTTTTGAATGTTTTGAACTTATTGGTGCCACAGCTAGTTCTTCATTTGAGAAGGGTTAAATGGATGTTGACTAATAAGGCGAGTATTTGCAGACACGAAAAGATGCTACACAGGTTGTTGCAAACCTGCAGAGACAACAGGTTCAATCGAGGTTGATCGCTTGTGATTACTTGGAAAAGAACATAGACCTCCTGGATATCTTGATATCAGGGTATGATAGCATGAAACTCTTTGCATGATGTTCAATTACAATGATTCTTAAAGATGTGGAAATCTGAATTGGGACTAAATATCAGCTTATTGTTATTTCAATAGTATGTATAAAGTGGAGATATAAAGCATCTGAAAGGTGAATTTCTCAATTTGAGATTTCTCAGTTGGGTGGACTTATTAATTAGCCGTAATAGAAATCTTTCTCGCAATGATTTTATTGATGTAGTGGAAAGTTTGTAATATTCTTCTACTTTTGAAATAGGTGTTACCAGAACCTTTGGATTGTTATTTGAGGGGAACAAATGGAGAATATTATTCTCAGTTTTCTTTGTTCTGAATAGTGGAGCCTTTTGTAATCTCTTATTTCTGGAAAATACTTGTAGATGATATTGTTCTGGACCATAACTCTGGGCTGCTCTACATTTATACATTTATCGAGATTTTGTAGAATCGAGGATTATGGGCAATGAAGAACCCTAGAGATGATGAACCTGATTATTTTCCCATTGTTTTCGTTACTGTATGTATCATGATGAAAGTTTTCACCAAAGTTGAAGTTTTTAAGTCTTCCTTCAGTTCAGATGATGATGGAGATGTGCTTAACATGGTTTCAGCAAATCATTTGTAGTTTGTAGAGTTATGGTCCAGCAAATGGATGCAACAACTTCTATTGCATGGACCATTTCTTTATCTCTCTCTTGAATTTATTATATTTCCTTTAAATATGTTGATTTTATAGTGTAACTCTATGTTTTGCCTCTTTTTTTAATAGATGTTTTCTTTCACAATCTACTGACTTTATTTTTTTCTGTTCTGCTGCGATCTAGTTATGAGAATAATGAACTGGCATTACACTACGGTGCAATGTTGAGGGAATGCATACGCCACCAAAGTGTTGCACGGTGAGTTGATGGTAAAGCTTTTAATGCTCCTTTAGATTTTCATTGTTGTTGTAATTTCTAAAGGACATGCCAGAAGTAACAGTATGAATTGACCATTTTTTTTCCTTTCCATGGAAACTTGATAATTTAGAGTGAGAAATAAGGGGATGTTAGTGTGAGAAATAAGGGGATGGTAAATTTAATAGCATCCTCTACCCTTCCCCCTAACGGTGTCATACAATTATTGATGAATGTAGCTGTGCGATTGATTCTAAATTGCAATAGAGAAAGATACTAACAGATGAACAACTCACTTTCTTTATGAAGCATTGCCACCATATGCTAATAGTTCCATCATGGCTGAGAAACTGAAAGATAAATGCTGTTTATCATTTACATGAGACAATATTGCGTCATTGTGAAGCATTGGCAGTCTCATATCTGAACCACTATATATATATATATATATATATATATATATATATATATATATATGTATATGTGTGTATATATATATATATATATATGTATATGTGTGTATATATATATATATATATTATACATGTGTGTGTAAATTTTTTTATTTTGCTTTGGTCTGTAGGTATGTACTGGAATCAGAGCACATGAAGAAATTTTTTGATTATATACAACTCCCAAATTTTGACATTGCTTCTGATGCTGCTGCCACTTTCAAGGTTCTGTATATTTTCCGGGTTAATCCTTTTCTATTTCAATTTGTTTCTCAATCTTCATTGTGCTGCATTATCTATATATATGCTTATAGTAAAAGAGTCTTTCTTTTGTTGACTTTTTTTTCTTGTTCTTGCAGAAGTACATAGTGTCTAGGCATTCAGTCACTAACATGATTCATGTTTTCTTTCAGGAACTTTTGACTCGGCATAAATCAACAGTAGCTGAATTTCTTTCCAAAAACTACGACTGGGTAAGTATTTCATGCAGAGATGGACATTATATTCTCCTCTGTGCGATTTATTGTTATTTTCTGGTAATTAGTAATTGTGCTGATTTTTGGTTTCCTCAACGAGCCCTCTCTCATGTGTACGTCATTTACTTGTTATCTTCTTGTTGATAGTTCTTTGCAGAGTATAACTCCAAATTGCTTGAATCTGCTAATTATATCACCAGAAGGCAGGCTATCAAGGTAACTCCTATTCGTTCTCTCTTTTCTGGGCTGGGAAATGAATGAGGACCACTCAGAGGCTGGACTAACTCCACATTCCTTTACAAAATAATATAGAAATAATTTGTAGTCAAGATTGGTGCAACTGAAAGTTGCCGAATTTTTTTTTTCAGTTATTGGGTGATATTCTGCTCGACCGTTCAAACTCAGCCGTGATGACTAAATATGTTTGCTCAAGGGACAACTTGAGGATCCTCATGAATCTTCTTCGGGTATGCTTACCTTCAAGGGCTTTAGATTCAATCCCATTTCCTTGTTGCACTTTGCATAATAGATGGGAGATGTATTGAGAGGAGAATTAAGCTTGGTGAAGGATTATGGTCTTGATATTTTTTGAAAAACTTTTTTGAAAAACTGTATTGAACAATGTCAATCTCGCTGTTCTTGAGATATCTGATTCATTTGCCATGTTCTCTATCTTAGTAAAAATAATAGAAAAGTAGGATGAAAATGTGTATAATTATTTTATTTAAAAAGGATGCTCAATCTCTGTAGTTCCTTGTGTCGTGAATTGACTGTTGAACTTTTTTCCTTGTGGCAGGAATCTAGCAAGAGTATACAGATTGAAGCTTTTCATGTTTTTAAGGTATGCCTGTATTTTCTCTCCCAAGCTTGCGGGATGCTTGTGTAACATTTTTTGCACTTCGTATCATACTCTGCTCTGAGCCTACAACATATTTATGTCTACAGCTATTCGCGGCTAATCAGAACAAACCCCCTGATATCGTTAGTATTCTCATCACTAATCGAAACAAGCTTTTACGCCTCTTTGCTGATTTTAAAACCGAGAAAGGTGAATGAGCACAGTTCAATATTCATGAGATATTTATTTAGTTTTTTCGGTCCTAGTGATAGTTGTGTTCTGAGACTGGTTCCATTTGTTGCAGAGGATGAACAGTTTGAGGCTGATAAAGCACAAGTAGTTAAAGAAATTGCAGCACTAGAGCCTAGAGAATAGCTGTGATTCGAGCTCTGATTCGGTTCATCGGCCCTAATGGCAAAATGTTGTACCATTAAATCCTAGTTGTTGTTTTATTTGATCCCTTTTTTTTTTGGGTTCATATATTGTTAAGTTTATACTTGTGTAGACCCTAAATGGTGTAAACTCTGATCATAGAAGGCTTTGAAAGTGTTGGTCTCTCCATGTTATCATTAAAAGATAATGCTTACTCTGCTCATGCTGGTAATAAAATATTCTTAATTATTTTTTAACAAGAAATAATAGAATGTTTTTTTACATTGGTTGGGAGATGTATAAATCTCTAGTGAGCGACTTTCATGTGATGCCATTTTTCATGTAAATTTTTGTTCGAATAATTTAGAAGCTCTATAAAGTTGTGCACCTTGCACTCTCTGTAATCTAAATTTTAATTTAAGAAAGACTCGTGTTAATTAATATACATGCAAATGCAAATTTTATTATCCAATTAAATCGCATATGATCAAGTGAGTGTGAATATTATCTTACATAATGATTTATCAATTGGGATTTGGGTCCAAGATACAGGACAGAATTGTCAAATGAAAGATAAGAATTTCGAACAACATATTGGCATATTCCGTGAAGTGAAACGAGACAAATTGTTTTGATATTGTATTGATTTGATCATTGGCATATTCCCTGAAGTGAAACGAGACAAATTGTTTTGATATTGTATTGATTTGATCAATTGCCAATCTTGGCCTCTTGGGGTCTTTGTCCGTTTGCTGCCATATGACTAATCAATCATCTTTATGAACTTATAATTAAGACAAAGTCCTTGCAAACTACCCAATTTTGCTATTAAGTCAACATTTGGCTACATAGTAGAGTCAACCTTCTATATACAATAAGTAAATTAATATGGTATAGTTTACTTATTATGTATAAAAAGTTGGCTCCACTATAAAACTAATTGTTGGCTTCATAAAAATTGATCCCCACCATATGTCTAATTTATTCCTTGAGATAACTAATCGTTTCAATCTTTTAGCGGAAAGTTCTAGGACATAAAGTAACTAATAAGTAATAACATATACTATACTATACCCAAAAACAAAACTAGCATATATTGTATAAATGTATATGATATGTAAATTTTTATACGAGACAACCTAATCATTTAACATGCTGACTTGAATAAAAATAAATATTTATATTTAAAAATATCAATTGCCAAAAAAAAAAATTATATCATACATTTATGTATATTCTTTTAAAATATATTTTTTAAAAAAAATATGCATATTTGTGCAGCCTGAATAAATCATTTTTTTTTTCTAATGTCCCAAGCCTTGTCTTGTAATAAGTTAGCTCCGCTTTCAGGTGCCAAAGTGAAATTGAGAAAACTCGAAACAATTTCAACCATCGACTTCCCAATCATCCAATCTCCACAAAGTGAAAATGGCAGCAAAAGGCAGGTCCCAGAAGAGATTTGTCCTTCCAGAATGCACTTCACAAACACGCAGACAAATATACACTCTGCACATTTCACATAGTTCGTGGTTTGGAGCTCAGTAGTTTCTTGACAGTTTTTGTTGGATTTCAGGTTCAATGGAGGAATTCTTGGCCACGGCAGTGGACGCCGCTAAGAAGGCTGGAGAGGTGCGACATTCTCACTAAAACCCATCTTAATTACCATTGGTGTTTTTTTGACCCACCCTTTTTTGGGTATATTCATGCTTTCTTGGTGGGTCTCGATTTTCTTTTACGTTCTTCGTAGTTTTGATCTTCAGTAAACTAATACGATTTGGGGTTTCAGATTATTCGTTCAGGATTCTACGAGACGAAGCGTGTGGAGCACAAAGGCCAAGTAAAAACTTGATCTTTTTCGTACTGTAATTTGATTTTTGGAAAATTCATCGTGTGTGTTGTAGTCATGTAATGTGAACTGTTAGTATTCATGATAGCAAGAAAATGTTTAGTTATGATACATATTGATCAATACTGTTTGATTGAAGGTCACTTGTTTTCTAGTGTATTTTGAAGAAATGTGGTGGGATGATAGAGGAGAAATTTGCTGAATGATAAAATATCATTTGTTCATTGATATGCAGAATTCATGCATTTGTTTTTCTTCATGTAGGTGGATTTGGTCACGGAGACTGATAAGGCATGTGAAGAACTCATATTCAATTTTCTCAAACAAACATACCCGGACCATAAGGTTGGCGTTGTTTTTTTCAGCTTTACTACTGATTCTTGGTTAATATCCCCGATTGCCTCATGACCTTCATGATTTGGATGCTTGAATTACATTTTGATGTTTTTCTATTGATATTAGTTCATAGGGGAAGAAACTACTGCTGCATGTGGAGTGACAGAATTGACCGATGAACCAACTTGGATTGTTGATCCTTTAGATGGAACGACTAATTTTGTTCACGGGCAAGCATCAAATGTTATTTTTATATTTTTCCTGCAAAAAATGTCATTGTTTTGTAGAAATTGAATTAATGATTGTATACTGTGATTGATTTCAGGTTTCCTTTCGTATGTGTATCTATAGGGCTAACAATTGGACGAATTCCAACTGTCGGTGTTGTTTATAATCCTATAATGGATGAGGTACTTTCAGCTGCTTAGTGGGATAAAATTCTTAAATTTCGAGATGAAGGAGATCTCTCTGAAAAATCAATATTTTAATTTCTACAAGGATTTAGATATCAACCTTTTATCCTTGTCCAACAAATTGATACTCTTTCGAATTATTAAAACTATATTGGAAAAACCAAAATTGTGTAGGTTATTGTTTGAAGGCCAAGGTCTTTGATAATGATTTCCTATTTCCTTGCAGCTTTTCACTGCCGCTCGAGGAAAAGGTGCATTCCTCAATGGAAAACCCATCAAAGGTAAGCTGCTCATTCGTGCAAATGTTTTTCAGAGTTACATATTTCAGGACTACCTCTGAGGATTATCTTGATTTTATTAAAAGGCCAAATTTCGTTTAAAAAACTTATAAATACCTCCCTGACATTTGTTCTTCTCGCCCAACAAAAAAGATCACCACCAATAATCTATGTTAGGTAAATCTCTAAGATACTTGCAATTTCAAAAGATAAGTGTTTTATGTACAGTAGTTTTAGAAGATCTCACGGATGATTTTAGACTTTTAGTGAATATCCAAGTGTTTTTAGAACATTACTTCTGTTGGTTTGCTTCTGAGTGCAACTACATCTTCAATATGCAGCATCATCTCAAACTGAGCTTGTGAAGTCTCTTCTAGCAACGGAGGTACTTACTGAGCTTATACTTATTCTTGTGTTTAGGCACACTCTGAGTACGAAATTGCTAATTTGAAAATTGAATGTGATAATTTTTACTTGCAAGAAGCTTGTTGAATTTGCATGAACTTGAAAATGACAGGCAGGTACAAAACGTGACAAGTCTACTTTGGATGCCACCACAAATATGATCAATAGCTTACTCTTCAAGGTAACTTAGAGGCTTTCTCTAAAGAATAATCTTTGCAATTTCCTGAAGTTTTTGACTTTTGCCTGATTTACACACACATGAACAATGAAAAAAAATAAATAAAAAGAAAATCTTTTACAATTACAAGTACTCTTTATGTCACCTAATTAAACTTCACTTTCAAGAAGACGCTGTTTTAAATGGGACAAGTTGACTTTTTCTGTAATCAGAGAAAACTTCATGTCTGGTATTTGTGAATTGAAAATATTCCTCCCTATTATTTTGAAAATAGCTTTGAGTATTGGTTCTCAATTGATCAGGTTAGGTCCCTCCGTATGAGTGGCTCTTGTGCATTAAATCTCTGTGGCATTGCTGCTGGAAGGCTTGATATCTTCTATGAACAAGGTTTTGGAGGCCCTTGGTAAAAACTCGTAAAAACCCCTGATTGTTATCATGTTCTCTCTCTCTCTCTCTCTCTCTCTCTCTCTCTCTCTCTCACACACACACACACACACACCCCACACTTATTCTATATTACTGAAATTATGGCCACTCCCTGTTCAGGGATGTAGCTGCTGGAGCTTTAATTGTAACCGAAGCTGGAGGTCTCGTATTTGATCCGTGAGTATCATATCATACATTAAAGCCATAGAAAAAAGGTTGAATTATTAGTCAAGATATTTAATTCTGAGATTCTGTAATCCGTTTTTCTTTCCCCTTTTTTTATTGTTAATAGCTCCGGGAAGGACTTCGATATAACATCTCAGAAAGTAGCAGCTTCGAATTCTTACCTGAAGGAAGCGTTTATTGAGGCAATGCAGCAATCAAAATAAGAGAAGAAACTCTACCCCAGCTAAGTTTTTGTTGCTTTCAGAAAACGATTATGAAGACAGCCTTTGATGTGCGCTGCTGAAAGAGCATTACTAGTGGGGAATTACATCATGCATTTCATTCTTATCTGGCAGATTCTTGATTGTATAATCAAACATGACATAAGTTTCTATTGATAAATCTGTTGTACGGTGTTCTGTTGCAAGAACTGGGAAAAAATTGAAATAACGAAGAAAAAATTGTCTGTCTTCAGTATTCTTTGTAGCTTCCATGTGGGGTTTTGCTCTTAATTGTGTTATTTGAAATGAGCAGCTCATGAGCTTCAACTTGTTAAGGCTTGAATTGGGTTCATTTATTTTGAGAGATTAATTTATGCTACTAAAGTATTTGCTTAAATACTAAACCGAGTAGCTGCAGTTAACCCCAATAGGAATGACCAAAAAACATTTCAAAGTAAACAAGAAACAAAAAATGTGTGGTAGCTGGTAAACCCAAATAAGCAATAAATTTCAGTAAAACAATCAAAACCAAACTTTACATACATTACTCTGAAGCAGAGTGCAGAAAATGCTCATACCAATCTCTAAACCTCCTCTCACTAGAATATGTCCTAAACATCACAACTCAAATGTAGTAATAAACCAACATGCAAACCATAAAACACCCATTGAAAAACAAACAAGACCCCATCAGAACATTCTTTTCTACATATTCTCTTCATACTCTATATTCATGTGCTCTTGATGCTCCATATCCACTGTAAGCATTACCTCCATTAGCCATTTTCTGAGAGCGGCTCGATTTTTTCCTCTTTAAAACTACACACCACGTGTAGGCCTCCAAAATTGCACCAAGAAAAGCCAGACCTATTAGTATCCCCACGTAGGCTCTTTTCCACTTCTCAGCCGGATTTAGAATGTCAAAACCTTTGAAAATGTTGATAATGCTGAGGATTATAACCGAGTAGCCGATCGTGTGGTGGTACACATTCCAGTAGATTCTGTGCTTGTGCTCCTTTTTCGGCCTCAACAGCAGTGCAGTCACCTGTGCCCCATATGCAGAATCTTTATATTATGATTTCACTAATTTGTTCATTACTTGGGTGTGTTTAATGAAAATACTATTTTCAACATTATAACACTCTAAAACCTTTTAATTTTTACAAAAAAATGAATCAGATAACTGTGGACAACAGGAATTGGAAGTGTACATTATTATTACCTGTAGGGTTCCAAGGCAAAAGATGACGATGCCGATAATCCTGTGGGCCGTGTATTGGACTCCAGAAGATTGGCTTCCCAACCGTAGGCCCGTGGCCCAGCCCGCAACCCCAATGATGTAGGCCGAGGTTTGGCAGGTCGCGTGAAGATAAAACCATGCAGGATCGGCCCAAGGGAATACTTTTAAATACCTTGCAAAAATAGCTCCAATTGGCAATAGGAGACCCCAGCTTATTGCATTCAGCACTCCATGAATCTGCACATTTCATTATACATCAATTGAAGAAAAATAATCAAAAAAAAAG